TGATGGTAATATCCTTCTTATTTGTTCCTCCTACAAGTCCTGTGACGTTAATATCATTGTTACTTGTTCCTCAAACAAGGCATTTGAAGTTAAAAGCCTCCTTACTTGTCCCTGTTACAAGGTGTGTGACGGTAATATCATTCTAGCCAGTTCCTCTTACAAGGCATGTGACAGTACTATAATTCTTACTTGTTCCTCTCACAAGGTATGTGACGGTACTGTCATTCTCAATTGATCCTCTCACAAGGCATGTGACTGTACTGTCATTCCTACTTGTTCCTCTCACAAGTTTCTCTCTTAATGTCGTTCTTACTTGTTCCTCTAACAAGGCATGTGACGGTAATATCATTCTTACTTGTTCCTCTCACAAGGCATGTGACGTTAATATCATTCTCACATGTTTCTCTCACAAGGCATGTGATGGTGAATCAGTTTTACTTGTTCCTGTCACAAGGCATGTGACGGTACTATCATTCTTTCTAGTTCCTCTCACAAGGCTTTTGACGATACTGTCATTCCTACTTGTTCCTCTCACAAGGCATGTGACGATACTATCATTCTTACTTGTTCCTCTCATAAGGCATGTGACAGTTCTATCATTCTTACTTGTTCCTCTCACAAGGCATATGACGGTAATATCATTCTTACTTTTTTCTCTCACAAGTCATGTGAATGTAATATCATTCTAACTTGTGCCTCTCACAATGCATATGACGGTAACATCATTCTCACTTGTTCCTTTCACAAGGCATGCGATGGTAATATCATTTGTACTTGTTCTTCCCACAAGTCTATTCGCACCGCGGGTAAATTATCAGGTTGTGATTGGTTTAACGCCGTCACGTGGTGACCTCTTATGGATCCGTAGCGGGTTAGTACATTTCATAGGGGGTTCAGGACGTCACGTCAACTATAAATGGTGACGTCATCTATTAATGTTGTTGTGTTTCATTGTTTATTTTTCTACAAGACACAGCCTTCGGCCTGACCCCCTATGGATTTTACTAACCCTCTATGGATCCGTAGGGGGTCAGTAGCGAACCATATAACTTATAATGTGCTGTACTATTATTTTTACTTGTTCCTCCCTTAAGGCATGTGAAGGTAATATCATTCTTATTTGGTCCTCTCACAAGGCATGTGACGGTACTATCATTTTAGGGATACGATTGCTGGCAAGCAATCTGTAGACCTTTACCATTGACCCCCTTCCAAGGCTCTCACGTCAACTGTTTTGTGCTTTACATTGAGGAACAACTCAGATTCTTAAGATTGTCCTGTTATAAAAAGTAAAAACAAACAAATTTAACAGATTGAATTTAAACAACTTTCTGTTAATTTTTTCCTCATAATCCTCAAGTTTTGATATCTGCCTTTTTTATTTGCGTTTATTATTCAATACGGAAAATCAGAATTAAGCAGTATTTATATTTAGGGTTTTATATATTTAGAATCACGTCAAAGAGGGAATTCCGCGGTTTTGAATTGAATTGTGAAAATCGCTGTCTTAAAATTTATTTAAAGTTCCAGATATATGTGTTCAAATGTATCAATATATATATATATATACATGTCGACTGTCATTAGCTTTGCAGGTTATTTATTTTTTCAACTCAATTGCTTGCAAAAATCTTCTCCTCTGAAACTACTGTGCCAAATTTAACCAAACTTGGCCACAATTATTATTGGAGTATTTTGTTTAAAAAATGAGTCCAATGACCCCGCTTGCCAACCAACATGGCCGACATGAATCAAAATAGAACATAGGGGTAAAATGCAGTTTTTTGTTTATATCTCTGAAACTAAAACATCTAGAGCAAATCTAACAGGATAAAAATGTATATCAGGTTAAGATCTCTCTGCCCGGAAATTTTTAGACGAATCAGACAACCCATTGTTGGGTTAATGCCCATGAATTTTAAGGAAATTTTGCAGTTTTTGGTATTTAACTTGAATATTATTATAGATAGAGATTAACTGTAAAAAGCAATAATGTTTAACAAAGTAAGATCTACAAATAAGCTAACATGACCAAACTTATAAATTGACCTCTTAAGGAGTTATCGTAAATTTTTGTAATCTTTTACAAATATCTTCTCCTCTAAAACTGCCGTGCCAAATAGAATCAAACTAGGCCACAATCATCATTAGGGGTATTTAGTTTAAAAAATGTGTCCGAAAACCCTGCTTGCCAACAAAGATGGCCGACGTGGCTAAAAATAGAACTTATGGGGTAAAATGCAAGTTTTGTCTAATATTCTGATAACCGTTATAAATAGAGGAAATCTGAAAAGGGTAAAATTGTTCAGAATGTTGAGCTCTACCAATTGTCTAATATGTCAAAACTGTCAGACTATATCATGTAGGAGTTATTGCCCTTAAATGAAAAATTTTACCACTTTTTTTCATTTTTGCCCATTAACTTGAGAACGATAATAAATAGAGAGAAACTTTAAATTGCAAAAATGATTAGAAGGACAAATAAGTCTTATGGTTGAAATCGTCAGTTGACTCCTTATTAGAGTTATTGCCCTTTGATGACGATTTGTACAATTTTTTTTCCGTTTTTCCGAGTTATTGCTCTTAAATTATGATTTGTGTACCCTCTTTTGTGGTAGGAGCGAAAGCTAAATAGGATACAGAGAAACTAAACAGACTTCAATGATCAGCAATATAAGATAAAAAAAACACAGAGATTTGTGTCATTAATTCTAATCTCATCTACAATGTTGGAGAGTGTCCTTTGTTGAATATGCATAAAGACCACAGTGAGTGACACTTTGAGAGCCTCTAGTTACTTGTTCCTCTCACGAGGCATGTGACGGTACTATCATTCTTACTTGTTCTTCTCATTAAGCATGTGACGATACTATCATTATACCCCATCTTTAAAAAAGTGGGGGTATACTGTTTTACATCTGTCTGTCTGTCCATCCGTCCATCCGTCAGTCCGTCAGTCTTTCCGTCGGTCCCATGAATACTTTTCCTTTATCTTTCTTAGGAACTACATTACAAGGATTTCTGAAATTTGGTTTCAGGGTTTATATGAGTCAGCTTTACCGTGTGATGCGTTTTCAGAATCATCACTTAACAACTTCCTGTTTACCTGATATTTTAGCGGGCAGGGGTATCATTAGTGAGTAGTAGCTCACAGATTCACTTGTTTTACTTGTTCCTCTCACGAGGCATGTAATGTTACTTTCATTCTGACTTGTTCCTCTCATTGAGCATGTGACGGTACTATCATTCTTACTTGTATCTTTCACAAGGCATGTGACAGTACTATCATTCTTACTTTTTCCTTTCACAAGGGATGTGACGGTACTATCATTCTTACTTGTTATGGTACTATCATTTTTACTTGTTTCTCTCACAAGGCGTGTGACGGTACCGTACTATCATTCTTACTTGTTTCTCTTACAAGGCATGTTACGGTACTGTTATTCTTACTTGTTATGGTACTATCATTCTTACTTGTTACTTTCACAAGGCATTTGACGGTACTTTCATTCCTACTTGTTCCTCTCACAAGGCATGCGACAATAATGTAGTTCTTCCTTGTTCCTCTCACAAGTCATGTGACGGTACTATCATTCTTTCTTGTTCCTCTCACAAGGCATTTAACGGTACTGTCATTCCTACTTGTTCCTCTCACAAGGCATGTGACAATAATGTCGTTCTTACTTGTTCCTCTCACAGTGCATATGACGGTACTATCATTCTTACTTGTTCCTCTCAAAAAGCATGTGACAGTACTATCATTCTTTCTAGTTCCTCTCACAAGGCTTTTGACGATACTGTCAGTCCTACTTGTTCCTCTCACAAGGCATGCGACATTAATGTCGTTCTTACTTGTTCCTCTAACAAGGCATGTGACGGTAATATCATTCTTGCTTGTTCCTCTCACAAGGCATGTGACGTTAATATCATTCTCACATGTTTCTCTCACAAGGCATGTGATGGTGAATCAGTTTTACTTGTTCCTGTCACAAGGCATGTGACGGTACTATCATTCTTTATTGTTCCTCTCACAAGGCATGTGATGGTACTGTCAATCCTACTTGTTCCTTTCACAAGGCATGTGATTGTACTATCATTCTAACGTGTTTCTCTCACAAGGCATGTGACAGTACAATCATTCTAACTTTTTATGGTTCTATCATTTTTACCTCACCTGGCACAATGGACTAAGCGAGCTTTTCTCATCACTTGGCATCCTTCCTCTGTCTTCGTCGTCATCGTCGTCCGTTACCTTTTACAAAAATATTCTCCTCTGAAACTACTGGGCCAAATTTTACCAAACTTGGCCACAACTATTTTTGGGATGTGCAGTTTTAGAAATGTGTCCGATGACCCCGCCTTCTAACCAACATGTCCACCATGGCTAAAAATATAACGTAGGAGTAAAATGCAAATTTTATCTATCATTTTGAAAACCCTTATGAATAGGAAAAATCTGACAGGCGCTGAAATGTTCAGAAAGTTGAGCTCTACCAAGTGTCTATATACGTCAAAATTGTCAGACGACTTTTTATAGGAGTTACTGCCCTTAAATAACAAATTTTAGCATTTTTTAATTTTTGTTTATTTTCTTGAAAGCTATAATTGATACAGAGAACATTAAATTGCAAAAATTATTAGCAAGACAAGTTCTTCAAATAAGATAGACTGACAGATCAACACATTCACAGACTGAAACATCAACACATTGACATATCGACATACTGGCAGTTCAACACATTAACAGACTCATATATCGACACATTTACATATTGACATACTGACAGATCAACACATTAACAATCTCATACATTAACACATTGACATATCGACACACTGACAGATCAACCCATTAACAAACTTGCACATCTCCTGTATCATAAGAATTAAAAAAAAAAGTGGAGAAATTATCTTTTTTGGTGTTCATGATGTATGCATACATTTTTATTTTCACATACATGATGAAATATAAAATTTCAAACTTAATTTTTTTTTTTCAGATTTCATCGAGAAAGGGAAACAGTCTGCCATGTTAAATCGTTTACTAGGGAAGGGCAGCTATGAATCATTTGATATGAGATGCATGGTGACCGGCCAGTTTTCAGTTGGAAAGTCGACTCTTGTGAAGCTGTTAGCTGGGGATGTCATACCAGAAGGGCGACATCCAACTGATGGAATTTCTCTCGTTGAAGGTCGCTGTGGTCTTGATATTGAGACAAAAAATTGGATTCTTATTGATCCAGGTGAGAAAAGTCACACGTAGAAACATCTAACCATATTATAAAAAAACGCTGTGTAGACCGTTGTGTTTTGTCAGAAGACATGGTATAGCTTTGATTTAAATAGTATCACATTGTAGCCATATATTTTGTTACTTCTTTTCAGGCACCAAATTAATTTAATATTAAATCTTTTTTGTGAATGAATTATAACGATTTTTTGAAATTTAATTTTAATGTTAAAATCATGCAATGAATTGACATTTATTTTCCATAATCAATGATTTCTTCAATCAATCAGTTAAAATGCCTCTCTTTAAAATAAATTAATAGCATCATGTAAATGTTACACCTGATAAGATATGTTTTTTATCTTTAATTCTGATTTTTCTTAAATTCTTCACTTGGCTCTGACAGCCTGTTTTGGATTTGATTTGCCTGGTGTATTAAATATAATTTCAGAGGCTTATAATGCACTGGATGTTGTGTACAATAAGGTGTTAATGACCTCTCTGGAAGAGGAGGAAAGTGAATTAACCGAAAAGTTCGACCAGGCTTCAGATACAAGCCCAACTGGTTATGCCAAAGCCACACTTTCATCTTTGCCCTCAAAACAGTCTGCAGCAGCACAATCTCTACCACCTCAGAAATCCTCCAATGCGCCTCTCACGGTAAAACAGATGAAAGAGAAAATGAAAAGCAGAATGACTAAAGAAGAAATACGAAGGAGAATGGAAAAAGTCCTCAAAAGTGGGAAGTATAAGATGAAAGTTGGACGTCTTATTTTCTGGGATTTTGGTGGACAATATGTTTACTTAACAACACACCAGACATTCATGACGTTCCGAGCGTTGTTTCTTGTAGTATTTGATGGGAGCAAAGATTTGCATGAACAGGTCCTTGGTGTGATGTGTTTTCCGGGGCAGCACATGACGCCAACTCCAGCAGGTAATGTGCATGTTATTTACATAGCGATAATGCAAACAGGGTATATTTCAATAACAGCAAGATAGAAATTATATTAAAAGATTTTAGTTTTTCCTAAAAACAATTTTTGTTGAAACTTTATATTAAATAGCTGCAAAACAAATGTTATCCTTATTTGTGTAAAAATAATTTTTTTGTTGTAAAAATAAGTTAACCGATGTAAATCGATGTATAGTAAAATCCACCATTAATGGCCTCGTCATGTGGAAAAAAATGTTTTCCCGAAGAAATTCAGATTGTTTTAAATGAGTTTTAAAGCAGAAAGATTTTCAATGTTAACATGTTAAAATACTGATAGCATCTGTATTGAACAACATACATCGTAAGTAACCCACATATCCACATCTCCATTTATTTCATTGAATTAAACATTTCTAGTGTAACCCTCCTTCTTAGAACTGATTGAAATAAGACCAAAACTTATATTGAATATTTCATTAACATCAAATTCTGGAAAAAATGAGGATTTGTTAATTTTCAGTTTTTACTTCTTAAAACAACTGACTTTGAACATAAATCTTAGGAAATGTGGACTACTTTTCAATAATATTTCTTTGCTTTAAAATGTCAGTTATAAGGTTCAGGGACACAGTTATCGTCCTTTGGTTTTCGTTGTCTACAAATAGAGTCCCTACTGTGGACAGTGTATAACTTGCAATTTTTTTCATACACCTTCCAAATTTATTTCTTTATATGTTATGCATACATTGTAAGTAGGGGGATGAAATAACATGTGTAAAAAAACTTCGGACATGGATTTTGGTAAAGTATGGAACAAAGTTTGAAAAGGTCAACAATTAGTATATCTGAAGCTGTCAGAACAAATTATAGACCCCCTTAACCTAACATTGTCCATATTTCGAGGAAGCGCCGATAGATTTTTCTATAATGTTGTCATAAAGTGTCCCTAAGGTGGCACACTACACTATAATAATCTGTTTTGGATAGAGCAGGTGCGATTTTTGTCAAGCCTGCAACTTTTGTTGAAAGCTCGACATAGTGAAAGTGATCTGGCGGCGGCGGCGGCGTTAACTAACTTCTTTAAAGCTTTATATTTTAGAAGGTGAAAGACCTGGATGCTTCATACTTTGTATATAGATGCCTTATGTTATGAAGTTTTCGTCTGTCATATGTCCATTGTCCTTGCCCTCGTTTCATGGTTCAGTGACTACTTGAAAAAAAAATTAAGATTTTTTGTAATGTTAATTTCTTTCATATAATGAGGAATAGGATAACTATATTTAGTTTGTGCGTACCTTGCAAGGTCCTTATGCCCCTCAGACAGTTTTCATTTGACTTCAACCTCATTTCATGGATCAGCAAACAAGGTTTAGTTTTCGTGGTAATGTCCATATATCAGATAATATAAGCAATAGGTCTACTATATTTGGTGTATGGAATGACTTTAAGTTGTACATGTCCAACTGGCCGGTGTCATCTGACTTTGACTTCATTTTCATGCTCAGTGGTCAAAGTTAAGTTTTTGTCTTTTTGTCTTTCTTTCTAATACTATATCATGTGTATGAAATGGGTCAACTTTATTTGGTGTATGGAAATATTTTACGATGTACATGTCAGTCTCGCAGGTTTTATTTGACCTTGACCTCATTTCACGGTTCATTGCTCAGTGTTAAGTCTGTTTTTTTGTATATTTTTCCTAAACTATAAGCAGTAGGTCAATATATAAATAACACATAGCTGAGAGGGTGATAGAGCAGATTGTAACCCCGTGAAAACATTGCCAACAGAGACAAAGCCAAGGTTGACTATCCTTTTTCGATGGGTACCAATCTGCTCCATCACCCTCTCAGCCATGTGTTAATTTATTTTACTGAATTTTCTATTATCATTTTCTTTTACAGTGTAATTTTAAATTATTAAGGATTTTACTATCACATCACGAATATAACAACGTTATGGGTATTGGAAAAATCAACAAAAGTGAAGCAAGTTGGTTTTTTTTTTTGACAGTCAATGAAAAAAGTTCTGAGCCAAAACGTAGGACTTAAGCATTGTCCGTAATTTCTTGATGTTTATTCAATTCATTGTCCTTTGAATTATTGGTTTTTTATTTGTCTGCACGAGAGGGTGACATTAAAAAAAATGTCTCCCGCTCAGCCATGGGATAGAGTAGAATTATCTCCCTCGTATTAGCCAATCAAAATCTGGCATTTTAACGTGAAGTATAATAACTATACTTGTTGTATGGAATGATTGTAAGGTGTATATGTCTGTCTGGCAGGTATCATCTGACCGTGACCTCATTTTCATGGTTCACTGGTCAATGTTGAGTTTTCATGGTTAAGTTTGCTTCTCATATACTATAAGCAATAGGTCAACTATATTTAATGCATAGATTGATTGTGAGGTGTACATGTCTGTCTGGCATTGTTCATCTGACCATGACCTCATTGCCATGGTTCATTGGTCGATGTTTAGTTTTCTTGGTTAAGTCTGTTTCTTAGAAACTATATTAAAGCAATAGGTCAACTATATGTGTTGTATTGAATGATTGTAAGGTGTACATGTATTTCTCCTTTGGTTTATCTGACCTTGACCTCATTTTCTTGGATCATGTTAAGTGTATGTAATACTTGTAGTAAAGCTTTATATTAAGGACTACATGTATCAACCTAAAATCAATGGTTAGTAAAGAAGGCGAGACATATCAGTGTGTTCACTCTTGTTTAATTTCTTGTTTGATAAAAAGCAAGATAGCGATAGGAACAAACACAAAATTCAAGGGCTGCTCCATAAAATATTTCACAGGATGGCAACTTGAACTGGCCATTATTTGTGTGGTGTGAAATATTAGTTTATATACGTTTTAATTGTATGCAGGTCTTTAGTATTGCTACCTTATTTTTAATTTGCATTCCTTAATCTATGTGTTGATGAAATAGACTGAAGAACAAATACAACAATATGGTATATAGATATACACTGAAATAGTTGTCACTTTTTGACAGATAATTCATCTGAAAGGAAGACTATTATCAGCTGTTTAAATGAATGAGGTTGACAAAGTATTCGGCCATTTTTTTGTTTGTTTTAGATAACGGGTTAACAAGACAGAAGAAATGAAAAACTCAAACTGTTGTATCACAACTATGAAAAATGCAGAATTTATATACTTTTTTTGTACTTCTTTTATGACATGTTTTGATTTTATTTTGTAGTATTCTTGCAATATTGGGTCAATTCCATCCTGACCTATTGTAAGATTGTATATGCAGGCATTCCAAAGATCTTGTTTGTTGCCACTCACAAGGACAAAGTACCAAGGGTGAGTGATCTAATGTTAGCTATATAGTAGTAAGTTATCGGCATTTGGAATACGTTAATAATGTGTACAAATTGCCTCATAAGAGCTCTTAGGCTTACATAATGATGTATGCTCATATGTCTTAATTTGACCAACATGTTTTTGAAACTACACTTTTGAAAGAACAAGATCTCTATTGATTTGTAGGTAATACACTAAAGATCATATTACAGGGCCTATATATATAGAGTAAAAGATATGAAAAAACCACTAATAGATAAGTAAATTATATTATGTATGCCATTGTATCAATATTCAATTTGGTACATCTCATTTACATGGAGATTAGTTAGCCCTGAGACTCTCATTGATGGTCAATTGTTGAGTTTAAATGTTAAAGATTTTTTTTAAGTCAGTTTTATTTCGACAAATGTATTGTCAATAATAAACTCTATCATTTAGTAGTACTGCACCAGATGCACTCCTCAACAAGTAATGTCTCTTCATTGATGTTAGAGGCCAACATATTTGAAAGTCCAAACCATAATACAAATATTGATGAGTTGGAGAAAACAAAATAGACCGGAAATAAAGCAAAATCTAGACAAGGAATGCATAAGGACGAAACATGCTTTATTTTCAGATAAGTTCAATTTTGTATGCTCCCGCCATAGCGGAGGGGCATTAAGTTTTACCCTTGTCCGTTTGTACTTTCGTACGTCCGTAAGTCCCAACATTGGTTTCCGTCCTCTAACTTACGTTTGCTTCAACCAAATGTTATGAAGCTTATACACAATGCTCATTATCAAAAATCATAAATCTAGTTTGATTTTTGTAGGCTACACTTTTGCCGTTCTAGAGTTATGCCATTTTAAAAATGGAAAAAATGTTGATTTTTTTGTTTCTGTTCCATCACTTTAGTTTGCCTCAACCAAATGTTATGAAACTTAAACAAAATGGTTGTTACCACAAAACACAGATCTATTTTGAATTTTGATGGCGTCACTTTTACCGTTCTAGAGTTATGTTCCTTAACAAATGGACAAAATGCTAAAATATTCGTTTCTGTTCTCTAACTTTAGTTTGCCTCACTGGGTAGCGTCACTTTTACAGTTCTTGAGTTCTGTCCCTTTTTAGCGTTGGCATCGTTTGTGTACCTTGGACACATTCCCCATTTATTTATAACCGCAAATTTAAATCAAACAATATTTTTATTTTCACGCAAATACCAAAATTACTGGCTAGTAGGCTTTTAATATCCTCTTGAACTGTTTAAGATTTATTGCCAATTTATTAAAATGTAATTTTTTTTACTAGTGTTTCTAAACTATGTAGGTAAAATTGTGAATAACAAAAAAACATCAATAGCAAGTTCTTCTCCAAAAAATATTCTAAAGACCCTAATATCACTTTATTCCTCTTGGAATGTAAGATTAGACAACTGTTAACAGTTTCGGAATGTTATCTTTAAAATTATAAGAGCTAGGTTAAAAGTAAAATTGACCTGTAAGGGTAGATGTATCTACTCTGGAATGTGAGTTGAATCTAATTATATTCTAGTTGGAATGTTCCATCATTGAAGATGCATGTAGATCATGGTGTGCGATACATGTTCTTTACAGCCTCAAGTTTATTTATCTGGCAACTTTTTATGTTTTAATAGGAGAATGTTGAGACACGACGTGAAGAGCTTTACAGTGGAATTGAGGAGTTGTTTAAAGACCATGAAGTACAGCATCATCTGGTCCTTAGGCCTCTAATATTTGTCAATGCCAAAGATCAAGCTGACCCAGAAATAGAAGTTCTGAGGAAAACAATTACAGAACTTACTTTCGACCACCCATGTTGGGGAGAAAGGATGCCGAATGCTTGTGTACCACTAGAGCTCGAGATCGCTGAAGGGAAACAAATTATGTCATTAGCTGAAGTTAAAGCATTAAATGCCATCAGCGAGGTGTCTGTCCTGTCTCCTGAGCAGCTGACCGATTTCCTACATTTTCAACATTCTCTTGGGAAGATTGTCTATTTTGACACCCCACAGTTGAGAGATAATGTTATCATAAGTCCCCTTCTTATGGTAGAAGTTATGAGATCTTTCATTACTGGTGTGTATATATTTTCATTGAGTAATGATTATATTGCTGTTAAAAAATCAACATACCGAAATATTGTTTACCAGCCATTAAGATCACTGGAGACTGTTAAACGGTGCCCTACACTAATCTTCTTGTTGGTTTGTCAGAACGTTTTATTATACAATTAGTCAAAATTGGTCATTTTTTTTGTATTCACAGCGTCAATACTTGTGAGTTAAAGCTAATTGTTTTATTATGTTTTGAAACTTTGGAGAGGATGGCTATTTTAACTTACGTTTTGTAAAAACATAATTGCAAATTGTGAAAAAAATTCAAACTGAAACTGATATTAAATAGTTATAAAGGTGAAGGTATAACTTTAACATTACATGGTTTCTAAATATAGAATACATTTTATGAGGTAACGTTCTTCTAAATGAGAAAGGATTCAATTTTGATCATCAAATGCCTTGAATAAGGAAAATTAATTTGTTCTAAAATAGGACATTTTATAGAATTATTAAGGTAAGTTTGTTTTCCGGTGCTGATATAGGTGAGCAATATAGCTTTTATAGAGAAGTAATACCTTATAATATAAGTATTTGTTTTACTTTTATGTCAAGTCACAAGGCCACGCCAATTAAATTTTATTGTTCTACGAATTTTTCCACTCCAAAAATTGGGGCTAGCTAGCGATTTGAAAATTTTAATAAAAAAATAATTAATTCGCAAATTTTTGAGGCGAAGTTTGAAAAATAATGGCGAGGGATTAAATCTTTTATTGTTGCAAATATTAATTTATAGGTTCTGACAATATTGATCAAAACAAGATGGTATACAACTTGATTTACCACTTGTACATATAATGTCCACATTTAATTGCAGCATATTTATGACTTCTTGTATTAGGGCATGTAGGGAGCACCATTTAACTTCAAAAAGGGGGCTATGGGTTTTTTGTCTGAGTCAGAATTTTTTTCATGCAAAGGGCGATCAATTTTATTTAGTTTTCAACGCTTTCAATCAAATTATATTTTTCAATATTTAACACTTGGATCTTGGATTCAGAATATTTCTGTTTGTCATCTGCTTGAGCAGAATTATTTTTTTCTTCAGAAAATTGGGGATCAGAATATTTTTTTTAGAAAAAAAAATCATAACCCCCCTTTTTTTTTATGTTAAATGGTTGTTCCCTTACTGTTAGTTTCTGATGATCTCAGATCTTGAAACTGAAAATTGCTTTAAATGATCTCCATTTAATTGTCATAGATGTCTTTCGTCCTTCACAGGACATGACTTATAACTTGCAAAAAGCAGAAACTGTGTTTATCTCCAGTTTTCTGGGGTTCGAGCTGTTCGTTGATGTGTGTACATTTTAATTTTTTTCTGTTTTATGTTGGTTATCTGTGTCTCCGTCGTTTTGTTGTTCTCATTTGCTCTTTGTCTCTTTGGCACTTTGTAATAATAGTATATAAATAAAATGTGGTATGAGTGCCAATGGCAATGAGACAATTCTTCATCCAACTCCCAAGTTATAATGTATTTAAAGTTAACAATTACAGGTCAAAGTACGGCCTTCAACACGGGGCATTGGCCCAGAACAAACAGCAAGCTATAAAGGACCCCCAAAATGACTAGTGTAAAACAATTCAAACAGGAAAACCAACAACCTAATCTATATATACGAAAGGAGAAATACCTATGTCTATGAACCACACCAACAAACGACAACTACTGTGACAACAGGCTCCTGACTCGGGACAGGTGCATAAACATGCAGCGGGTATGGATAGTTTTGTTCCGCCGGCAAGCGATATTGCAGTTGAAGGCAACACTTCTCCTTCTGCGTACTTTATTCTAATAACGAAAATCGACATTATTTTGATATTAAGAAATCTTTGTTAATGCTCGATACAGTTTAAAGGGTCTCATCTGACATTAATTTAAACGCTCTTGCTATCGCTTTCTATATTATTTTTAAATGTTAAAAAAAAAAAACGCGCGGGAAATAGACACGATTACTTTTCCGAATGCGGGAAGCGGGAATATAAAAAAAAAAAAATTTCATTTATAAAAAAATATGTGCGGGCGGATTCGTCGAACAAGGAATTAAATTGGTGTGGCCTAAGATAGATTATTTTCATTTTCATAGATGTTGAATTCTGGCCAAAAGAAGATAAAACAAGAAAAACCTTCAAAAAGATGTCGAAAAATGGAATGATACAAAAATTAGACCTATACCAGATTTGGGAGCAAGAAGAATTTCGTCAGATTTTACCATTTAAAGAGTACATATTTGATATGCTGATACACCTTGATATCGTATCTGAACAGCGTAGATATGATACAAAAACAGGAAGTCGACTACCAGTAGAACACTTCTTTGTACCCTGTATGCTTACACAAAGAAATGATACAGATTTCTTGTTACAAGAATGTACACCAGAGAGGACTGTTAGTTTGGCCTTTGTTTTTAACGGAACCATTATACCTCCAGCTTTACCGAATCGTCTCATATGCGCATGTCTCAGTATGTGGACATTGAAGCAATACCGTGGAAGGAAACTTATGTTTTCTGGGTTTGTTGGGTTATCATTTGATAAAGAGCATGATATCGTTGTCTGTGTAGAAGGAAATAAGATCTTATTGCACCTAGTCCACAAGCGCTCCAAGGGTTTGATAATGCCTGATATAGCCACCAGTGTCCGGGATTGTTTGTTTATTACTTTAGAGAGAATCTCCGAATTTTATCAGTCCTCCATCCATTGTAAAGCCAGCAGCAAGTTACCCTTCCACACCGAGTATTCCTGCTCGAAATTAAACTGTTTCACTTCAGAAAACAAGATGGCTTCAGAAACTGAGGAATGTCTTTGTGAACACAGTGAAAACATTAAAAATAACTGGAGTATTTGGAACAAGAAAAGGGTATGTATATACTTTTATTGGTACATCAATGAGAGAAATTTAGAATTTGATTTCTAAGCCTGCGCATATGTTGCGAAGTTCCCTTATTGTAGAAGATTGGTACCCAACTTGCATTTATATGTTAGACAATCAATCTTTCAACTTTATATACGAAATACGATATGGTATATGATTGTCAATGCGACAAATCTCCACCATAAACCAAATGATGCAGAAGTCAGCACATATAGGTCGCCGTAAGGCCTTCAACAATGAGCAAAACCTATGCCACATATCAAGCTCTTAAAGTTGTTATGTAACAAATGTCCATACATTCAGAGACAAATTTATATCTGTACTAACTTGTTGAAGTTGGTATGATAGTTACTAATTAAACAGCAAAAGACGAATGTATAAGACAGAGGGAGAAAGGAATGCTAATGTTGCTATGACACCTCTTTGTTTAAACCTTTTTATGTAAGGTAGAAGAGCGGATTACTATTTATAATATTTACCTGACTTTGCTTGTAGTAATTATCAGCATTTGTCAATATTGTATTTGTTTATAATGTGTGCTTTTGTCATTAGTTTCACACATTTTACAAAGTGAAATATTTTTGTGGACCGATGAGCAAGTAGGTTGCCTACATGGAATTATACAAATACTTGAATTGTAGTGTTATTTTCTATTTTACAGGAACAAAAGCAGTGTGATGCTAATTGTCAAGGTAAATGTATCATTTATCTCTCTGCATTTGCATATTATTGACCAGAGTTAACATTTAACTTATGAAAATATCCAATTTCAAATCTCATGTCATAGACCATGCTACTGATGTGATTTAGTGCTGATAACGCTTAGACAATATAGTGTTTTCAATATAATGATATTTCACATATTTCAGATTGGAACATCTGTGGAAAAGTAATGGATTTTTACCATCTGAGTTTACAATTACCAAAGATACATGTATTAGAAACTTTCAATTTAAAATATATCATTTGCAAGTTTAGTTAAGATTAATTGTTGTAAATAACTTAAATATATCCTATATGTCTTATGAGTAAATTGTCTACGATTATTGCTGTCAACATATAAACGTATGTGCTACATTTAAGATAATATATTTAGGTGTATTTTGTGAACATAGGTTCGAAGAAATTAGAATTAAATTACTGCATATGTTGCTAATATTGCGTACCCAATTACTTTTAATGTTGAATAGCTATCTCATCTTATCTTAGTATTTTAACATACTATCTTTACAAAGTTTATGTGTTTTTAAATCAATTTTAGGTTTGAGCGAAGATGCATTATCTCAGATTCCAAGTAACACAGAGTTGCTTCGATTGTCTGTTAATTGTGAGACACGCATGCTTCATGATTTGGCTCTTCATCTTGGAATGGAAGAGATGGTATGGAATGACATGGAAGACAACTACCCAGGAAATATACAGATTGTCAAATTTTTGACACTTATGCATTTGAAAGAGAATGATGAAATCAGTTTTGCAGAATTTAACAACGGATTGAGAGAAATGAAAATAACAACACATAAATTATGTGTGGTAAGTAATTACTGCAATGGACTGGTGCAATTGTATTTATCTTTTTATATTTAACTATATTTGGCATATGGTATGGTTTTAAGGTGTACATGTTTGTCTTGCAGTGTTCATCTGAACTTGACCTCAAATAGTTCATCGGAAAGTACCAAGACCTAATATATACAAATTCAGTGTCATATTAAGTTATAGATTCTGGTTCTGAAGTTGTGTATCTTACAATTGTACCTTAGTTTCCCCTTTATTTGTCCTCTTGCTATCATGTTTCTTTTGATCTTATGAATTTTGATATGACTCCGTATCTATACATCCCCCCATCAGGTTTTTAATTTTTTCTAGCTTTAGGCATTCCTGGTGCAGAAGGGTCCTGAGGTTCGATTTTGACACAAAGGTTTTTTTGCAGTGTCCGTCAATTTTGTTTACCCTTGTATTTATATCTGCTTAATTCTTATTTTATACTAACAATAACCAAACCTTTTGTTGACATCATTGTGAAATTTAAGATTAATATCTACTATCGTTTTTTTTTTGCTGAATTAATTTGTATTTTTGTTTGATTTTTTTGTTATTTGTGTTGTATGTCTGTGATGAATGTAACATAGTTTTAGCTGATGGATCTTAATTGAATCATATGCGACTGTCAAACAAGTGAGGGGTTTAGCTAGCTAAAAAAAACAGGTTTAATCCATCATTTTTTACATAAGAAAATGCCTAATATGACAGTTGTTATCCGTTCGTTTAATGTGTTTAAGCTTTTGATTTTTCCATTTGCTTAGGGACTTTTCATTTAGAAATTTCCTCGGAGTTCGGTACTTTTGTTATTTTACTTTTTACCTATTACGCCTATTTGAGTCAGTCACCCAATGGTGTCAATTTAATGGAAGTACAAACAAATGTCATACAAGTGTGAGGTTTAGCTGGCCTATAAGCCAGGGGTAACACGCTTTTTTCGTTGTAAAAAAATGCCTGTACAAAGTGATGAATATGGCCGCTGTTTTTCACTTGTTCCGTTGATTGATATCGTTTTAATTTCTCAATATTTATGGACGTCCTGTTTTTGAATTTGTCTTTTGAGTTCGGTACTTTTGTAATACACTTTGTACATGGATCTTTGATAAGGTTGATATAAAAAAAGAAGATGTGTTATGATTGCCAATGAGACAGCTCTCCACAAGAGACCATATGACACAGAAATTAACAACTATAGGTCACCGTACGGCCTTCAACAATGAGCAAAGCCCATACCGCATAGTCAGCTATAAAAGGCCTCAAAATGTGATATTAATCTTTAGGTAAAACCTTCATATTACATACTGCCAACATGGTCAACATAAATGCGACCAAAATAAGTAAAGTAGGCGAGACAGATGGATTTGGCTATTTTATTCGGTTATTTCTGGTCATATAGCTCTTCAATTGTTTCGGTTCTTATATATGGCTTTGAGCGTTCCTAATGAAGGTAACTCCAGAAACGCCCTTCGGACGTATGAAGTTTATATAACGTGTTGTTTTCATATTTTTCAGTATGTTGTATTATGCTTGGGAAGGACGAGATGGTTAAGTTTTTAAAGGGACATTAGCTGTCAAATTTATGTTCCCCAATTTGACTCAAATTCTCATATTTGATTTAAATTTACTAAAACGTATATCAAAATAAAGTTTAAAATAAACAATTAACAATGCATATATTTTCATATGATGAAGACATAACTTTTCAATCAGATTAATTGAGGTCTGGAGCTGGCATGTCAGTAACTGCTAGTAGTCCTTTGTTAATGTATGTATCATTGTCATTTTGCTTAGTTTCTTTTGTTACCTATTCTACATCGGACTCGGACTTCTTTTAAACTGAGAAAGCTATATAGAGGTATAGGAGGAGGATTGAGATCTCAGAAAACATGTTTAACCCCGCCGCATGTTTGTGCCTGTCCCAAGTCAGGAGCCTCTGGCCTTTGTTAGTCTTGTATGTTTTTTTAATTTTAGTTCATTTATATGTTTTGGAGTTAGTATGACGTCCATTTTTACTGAACTAGTACACATTTTTATTTAGGGGACAGTTGAGGCCAACCTAATATTGCGGCATTTTCGCGCTGCGTTGTAGACCCATTGGTGGCCTTCGGCTGTTATCTGCTCTTTGGTCGGGATGTTGTGTCTTTGATACATTTCCCATTTCTATTCTCAATTTTATTGATAGAATGTATACATTTTTCGTGTGTATTTTAGTCTAATTAACCATTGAGAAGACTTCCTAAGACTGCTATATAAACATATATATGAATAGTTAATGACCATGTGCAAATGGATTTTTCTAGGTCTGCTTGATTTCATATTAAGCTTTAAAAAATATGCTTATGATTGTTTTTTGCTACAATGTACCTGTATAAGAATGATTTTTTATGGATCGAATCCATCTACCAAATGGTTCACCCTTGTTTCATTTTCAGTGTTTACAATTTTTCTCTTTTTAATAGCTAAACACGGCTAGTACATGTGTAACTCATTTCTATCTAAGTGGTAAATTGTAGGTCACATAAATACGGATTCAATTAGTATTAAATGTGTCTTAATCGTAGCGTACCTCATGCCCTTAACGTAATTTGAACATGTATTTTGCATCTGGTCTAAACCCTTTTCTTCTGTAATAACTTTAGGAACTTGTTTTCATATAACATCCATTAATGATAGATTTAACTCATCACCCTGAAATAAATCGATGTTTAATATTATCATATTTTCAGGTACGTCGTAGAAAACAAGTGAAATCTAGTAAGTACTTTGATATCTAAAGGTCTTTGCATGGTATACTTAAAAAGGATTTTTTCTTACTGTTCTGTATTGAATACATCATAAATGTTATGCTTAGCTTGGCACAATATCTGATTAAGGTGGTACCCAACACCTTGACTAATATTAATTTGGCTCGTTTAATTTTCATAAAATTTTGACAAAATGTTTACTTTGACCCTTTGACAAAAATATAAAAATTTCAAAAAATTTGAACCAACCACTTTATCAGAAAAATTTCATTGGTTATATAGCAGTTTGACAAACACTAATTTTGATCATTGAGAAGCTTAATATTTCCTTAACAATACAACGTAATTAAAACGTTTATCTGATTTTTACAGAGTTATCTCCCTGTAGTGTTAGGTACCACCTTAAGGGTATATTATGTAACAATTAGTCATCTTGATTCCTTTTTACATAACTGTGCAACTTGGAATCATAATGTTATCGTCTTTATCATTTGGATATGTGTCTTTTCTGATTACAAAGCAGTAAGCACATACCTTCGAATTATAAGCACACCTTTTTGGAAATGTTTGGCTTATTTAATTACAAAGCAGCTGAAAGAACATTCATCAAAATATGATCACTCTCTTTACAGATGTTATTTTTCTTCCATGCATGATTTGGTTGTAAACATAAAAAGTCCTTACTGCTTCCCTGAATTTATTCCAATTAATTCATTATAACTTTAAGAGGGGCACTTAGTGCATTATTAGCTGCCTTTGTTGTAGTCCCTCTTTCATATCCGTATACTTTCATATAGCCGATGTGAGCAATTGTTAACAGTTTGCGTCATTTGCCAGTCAGTCATTTTAAACCTCATCTTCAGAATCTACTTTTCCAGTCGACACCAAACAACGAGAACATAAACTTTATTTTTAAAATTGTTTAGGTTTAGATGTTTTACCTGTGGAAATTAACTACGATGAACTGAATTTGCTTTCATAACTAGTCTATGATATTGTGGTCAAATTTATGTCCAATCTGGAAAATCATTAAAGATGAAAGAATGGGGTATGCTGCATATCATGGATAGGTTATATTTAAACATGTAAACTATGCAAAACATTCAAAGTTTCTCCGTTACAACAGTGTATTGACTAATTACTGTGTCCGTCATCTAATTTTATTAAGATCTTTACCATGTCAGAAACTATTGAACCAATATAAAAAAAACTTTGAAAGAAAATTCTTTAGAGTTTGCAGCATAAATGTTGTTTTGTCAACAAACATGGCTGATATGACTAAAAGTAGAATATATGGTTACAATGATTTGTTTTGTCTAAATACACATTGTACTAGCAGATGAAAAAACTATAACAGGGGCAAAACGGTTTTTTACCAATTTTCCTAACTTTAGAACTTAGTCATTTTTAACACAAATGTATACAATTAGCAATTGTGAATTCAATAAATCATACAACTTATTTTTCTACATTGTGTTCTGCATACTGTTGTTTGTCTTTTGTCATTTTTGTCACAATTGTGACAACAGTTGCTGAATGTGAGACAATCTAGTGGAGTTAAACTATTCTATTAAGCTTTATATTTCAGAAAGTAGAATACTGAGGTGCTTTAATTATACCTTGTATGCAGATTCCTTACGTTACAAAGTTTATGTTTTGTATGGTCCTCGGCCTCATTTTCATGATTCAACGGATGTTTGAAAAAACAAAACTTTCTCTCTTATGATTAGTAATATGATATATAATATGTCTATTTGTCAATCGGACAAGATTCACCTGTAATTGACCTTAATTATACCCCACGCAACGAGTTGCGGAGGGTATAATGTTTTGACCCGTCCGTCCGTCAGTCCGTCCGTCAGTCTGTCCGTCACTCCGTCCGTCAGTCTGTCCGTCCGTCAGTCCTGTTTCTTGTCATCGCAACTCCTCTCAAACCACACAACAGAATTTCACGAAACCTTTTTAGATAAAAAGGACATATTATGTATTTGTGCATATCGACAGGAAATTACGATTCAATTTTTTTTCTAGGAGTTATGCCCCTTTGAACTTATTTGCTTCAATGTACTACTGCAACAGTTTGTCATCGCAACTCCTCTCAAACCACACAACAGAATTTCACGAAACCTTTTTAGATAAAAAGGACATATTATGTAGTTGTGCATATCGACAGGAAATTACGATTCAATTTTTATTCTAGGAATTACACCCCTTTGAACTTATTTGCTTTAAGGTACTACTTCAACAGTTTGTCATCTCAACTCCTCTGAAACCACACAACATAATTTCATGAAACTTTGTAGATAATAAGAACATACTACGTAGATGTGCATATCGACAGGAAATTACGATTCATTTTTTTTCTAGGAGTTACGCCCCTTTGAACTTATTTGCTTCAATGTACTTCTGCAACAGTTTGTCATCTCCACTCTTCTGAAACCACACAACAGAATTTCATGAAATTTTGTAGATAAGAAGGACATACTATGTAGATGTGCATATTGACAGGAAATTATTATTCAATATTTTTTCTTATACAATTTTTTTTTTTACACTTATTTAATTTCTCCAATGACAATGTGGGGACGTGGGGTATGTGAGCGTGCTCACTAATGTTCTTTAATTCATGAACCAATGATTAAGGTTCTGTTTACATTGTCAAGTTCGTATCTCAAAAGTCAACTTTATTTGGTGAGTGGAATGAATGTAACATGTACAATTCTGACTGTTCTTAACCTCATTTTCATGGTTCATTTAACTTGTCAATGCTATGTTGTTTTTTTTTGTTTTTTTTTTTCTAATTTTCATTTTTTATTGAAATCTGTACATTTTTTAGTAATGAAAACATCGAATACCGGTACCTTATCCCGGCCTCGTTAATGTGAGCAATAGAAAATGTACATATATATCTGTTAGTATTTGTTAGTTCATTTTACAAAACATTATATCAGCTGTAGTGACTTAATATAATACCACATTTTTAATTTGCATTTAAAAAGTAAAAAAAATAACATAATTGAATGTTCAAAAAAGGACCACAAATAAATATATGATCAAATTAGAATAATTTTTTTAACAAACATACAGATATTCTAAGTTTTATAGTTTTTTTAAGAATGGAAATATTGAGGAAAAATAAGTGAATTTAAAAAAAAAATTAAAAATTTAAATACATAAAAAATAAAATAAAATAAATATATTGTTCTGATGAATATTTTTTATTTTAGTTAACAAATCAACATTCCATCATGTTATTCACATATGAATTATAATAGGACTTTAATTACAATCGAACAAATAAGTAAATTGAATCCACAGTTTGTAGAAACTCTCAAGTTTATTGTTTCTTACTGCTATACACTTCTCTAGATTATAAAGATCTTTTAGTACTTTCTTCACAGCATGAATTGATAAAACTTTCTGGATATATCTTGTATTATAAATATATTGTTTAAGACACAGAAAAATCAGGTTTGAAATTTCACCCTTGTATACATGTGAGACATCACCAAACAAATAATTCTTTTTGGTGAATGAGATACTTATACCATTAGATAAAAACCATATATCTATTTCTTCTATAAAATTCTGGACATTTTCACAATTCAATAGTACATGTTCTATAGTTTCTATTTCTTCCTTACAAAAATTACATAGTTGACTATTAATGACATTAATTTTACACAAAAATTTGTTTGTAGCTAATATCCTATGATTTACTCTAAACTGTAACCATTGTAATTTTGTGTTATTAGTAACTGTAAAAGGGAGTTTGAAAATTTCTCTCCATTCGTATTCATCAAGTTCCAAAATTTCATTCCACTTTTTCTGCCCATTAGGAACCACTTTAGGTATTAACATCCAGTTTATATCTTTAGTTCCCTTTTTTCTTTTTAAAATGGTTTGAACAAAAGAGGGAATAAAAGGTTCTGCGAGCTTATTATCTCCCCTTGAATACAGCTTCTTTGTCTGATTTAATGCTGATATGATACTATTATACATCATTATATTACCAGAAATATCAAATTTGTCTTTAATTTCCCCATAGGAGAGAAACTTTCCACTATTACTAATCACATCATTTACAAAAACAATACCTTTATTATACCAACTTCTATAAAATACATGTTTATTATTGGTATTTATATTCTTATTCATCCATAATGGACTAGCAAGAAAAAATTCCCATGTAGAATTTATATCTTTATCTACAAAATATTGCCATGCTTTAAATACATCAATCCAAAATTTGTTTTTGACATTTGAAATAGTGTTTGTTGTGTAACTATTTCCTAGTTTGAACAATTTCTCTTTATCTATATTTGTAAATAAAATATTTAACCATTTACAGTTAGAACTAAACAATTTTCTTATCCATGTACATTTTAAAGCTATCATAAATAGATTAATATTAATCATCTTTAAACCACCATTCTTATAATCCATGTGTAACACTTCTTTTTTTACTCTATGGACTGGTGAGTTCCACAAAAAATAATAAAGAGGATCATTAATTTTCTTAATCATCTCAGCATTTGGGTTTGGTAATGTTAAAAAGAGATGATTTAGTATAGGAAGAATAAGAGTTTTAACCACCGATATTTTTCCAATTACTGTTAAGTTTCTTTTAGAACATGTATTAATCAAAGTTTTTATCTGAAGAAACTTATCAGTATAATTTAAGTTTAACATTTTTTCAAGATCAATATCGAAGTTTACCCCTAACAGCCTAAAAGAAGTTGACCTCCATGATAAATTTCTGTTCTGGCATAACATTTCTCTACTGTATTTTTTACTTCCAATCCATACCACTTGAGTTTTTGTAAAATTTATCCTTAGTCCAGAAAGTTTTGCATACCAATCAAGCTCTAATAAAGCTTCTTCCATAGATTCTTCACTTCCATCTAAAATCAGTGAAGTGTCAACTGCAAACTGAGATAGTTTATGTTCAACTTGAGAAATTTCTATACCCTGTATTTTCGTATTACCTCTAACCTTTATTGCCAAAATCTCTGCACATAATATGAAAAGGTACGGGGATAGTGTGTCACCCTGTCTACAGCCTCGTCCAATACCAAAGAACTCTGTTAAATTTCCACCCTGAATTATCTCCCATATAACGCCCACTTATGAAATCAGTTTGATGTAAATTAATAAGTTTATCTAAAACTTTTTTTAAATCTATTTGCAATCACCCCTGACCCAATTTTATAAACTGTATTTAATAATGAAATGGGGCGCAAGTTCTTCAGAAAATGCTGTGGCTTATTATCCTTTGGCAAACATGTGATAATGCCTTGTTTTTGAGTGACTGATAATGATCCAATGTGAAATCCATAATTTAGAGATTCTACAATAAAATATTTTAAATCTTTCCAAAAAAATTTGAAAAACTCAGTTGAAAAACCGTCAGATCCAGGAGATTTATTATCTTTCATTTTTTGTAATGTTAAACCTGCCTCAGCTATAGTTATCTGCCCTTCTAAATCATTTTTTTCATCCTCTGTCAATTTTTCAAAATTTAAATTTTTTAAATCATTTTCTAACTGTACAATTTTACAGCCATTTAAACAACAATCCCTATTTTTATATAGTGTTTCATAAAATACTTTTGTTTCTTTTAAAATATCACATTGCTTTGTTATAATCCTTCCATTTTCTGTTTCAACTTTTGGTATAATTTTACTAGTAAAATTTTTTGACTCAAGACCACAAAAATATTTAGTTGGCTTTTCCCCTTCTTCAGTCCATTTGACCCTTGAACGTATTAATTTACCCTTCATCTTTTCTTTCCTTATATCCTCCAGTTCAATGCTATTTATTATGATCGGGCATTTTTTCAGATACTATTAGAAATACGTCAACTCTATTTAATGTATAAAATGATTACAAAAATACAAATGTCAATCTGGCCTGATTCATCTGACCCTGACCTCATTTTCTTGCTTCTATGATCAAAGATGAGTTTTCCTGGTGAAGTCAATATCACAGATCCTATAAGTAATATGTCAACTATATTTGATGTATCAAATGATTGTAAGGTTTATATGTCCGACTGGTAGGTTTCCTCAGACCCTAATCCCATTCTCAGGATTTATTGGTCAATGTTAAGTTTTGGTGGTTTGCCCTGTTTCTCTAATACTAGTATTCTAAAATGTATATGGTGGATGACTGTATGAGTGAATTGTCTAAATTTCAATTTCGATTTTAACCAGGAAGTGAATGAAATGATAATAACGATCGATATATAATGATCTCTTAAATGCCGGCCATGACCCTTCAAGAATTATCCAGTAGACCACTTAGAGAATTGGATGAGAAAATAATTAAAAGTTGGCAGTCAAATATATGGAACAAAGAACATGTCCTTCAATAATGATAAAATTGCATTGAAGCAATGCGGGAAATAATTAATACATTACCATATTTGATTTTTAGTTCCAGCTGGAAAATGAATGCAAAGTTTTACCCTTTAATTCTCACAAGCATAACACACGTTTAACTGTCCAGTATAAACAATATTCATTTGTGTTAAAAGCATTCAGGGTAACACTGCAAGTTTTGACGAATTCTCTGTAGATATATTTGATTTCTTATTCCAGGTATTCCTGACGATATTCTAGACTGTATTCCATCAGATGAAATTTTAGATAGATTAGCACCGCTGATTGGCAAGATAGTCTTTCAACTAGGAATAGAACTTGGACTGTCTGTAGAAGAGATAGAGAGTATCAAAGAGAAATGTGATCGTGATTTGACAGCACAGAATAAGGAAGTGTTGTTTACATGGAGGAAAGACAGAACAGTGAAACCTACAATACGGGTACTTGAGCAAGTTTTTGTAAATATTGGTAAAGGAGCAAGGTGTTTAAAGGAAGTTGTAAAAGATGTTGATCCAAATACACTTAGAGCAGTGGAAATAGTTACAGGTAATACTATATGAAAGATCTGAGTAAATAAATAACACTATTAGGTATAATTAATTCATTAATTATACCCCCGGTTAAGAAAAGTGGTGGTATACTGTTTAACCTCTGTCTGTCCGTCAGTCCGTTCGTCCATCCGTCAAGTCGTCCATCCGTCCGTCCCATGAATTGTTTTGTTGCATCTTTCTCAGGAACTACATCATAAGGATTTCCGAAATTTGGTTTACGGGTTCATATGAGTCCTCTATACCGTGTGTTGCGTTTTCAGATTCATCACTCAACAACATCCTGTTAACCGAACACTTATATCATTTTACACATGATAGCCAAGTTGAAAATTTTCGTCACATTTTTCTCAGAAACTTCAATACAAGGATTTCTGAAATTTGGTTTCACGGTTTATATACGTCAGCTATACCGTGTGATGCGTTTTCAGATTTATCTCTCAACAACTTCCTGTGTACACAAATATTTGGGCGGGGGTATCATCAGTGAACAGTAGCTCGCAGTTTCACTTGTTTAGTACAGGAAATATGTATATCATAGATTTATAACAGAAACATATAAAATCAGTGCTACACTACTATTTGTAAAATAGTTTTGCCTAGTAATATACAATGCCTCTCTGAAACATCATCTATATGGAAAAATCCAAAACTGCATCGTTGGTGCTCTGTACTAATGAGTGCTAATGAGACAACTCTCCATCCAAAATACAATTTGTAAAAGTAAACCATTATAGTTTATAGTACGGTCTTCAAGACGGAGCCTTGGCTCACACCGAACATGTTTATCTTGTAATATACAATTACAGTTGGGTGCAGACCAAGCATTATATAAAGTAAACGCACGTTAATGCCGCATGCACATATTTCGCTAGTTAAATTCTATTTTCGCGTTTACTATAATTACGTTAACGCGGTCAAAATGGAAATTTCTAATGTCTACCCGAGTAAACGCGTGTCCATATAGTCAGTAGTAAACGGGCGTTAACTTTAGATTTCACAAGTTTATTTCTACGTGCAATTAAAAGTAAACGGGCGTTGACTACAGATTTCAAAAGTGTATCTTAACGTGCACTTGAAAGTAAACGCGCGTTTACTTTTCGCGTTAAAAGATTGTGTAAATTATGAAATAAACTTCGTGAACATTTGTTCATTTTTTTTATTTGTTAAAACGACTTTTATCTTAAAGTCATATAAAACTTCAAATTAAAAAAACCATGATACATATGTTTTTTTTTTTATAACTAAATGGTTAGTTTTCATTATAAAACTTATGTACTTATACCTTTGGAGATAATTCTTTAATTTGTCCAAATTTAGAAGAAATTTAGTTTTTTTGAATTGTTCGCTTCCAGCCAACAATTCGTCGACACGTTTTCCATATGCAGTTACCTCAGCATGACCTTTCTCGTAAACATCCGGTGATCGCAATTACGCAAGTGCGAAAGGGGAAAATCATATTGGCACAGAGAGTAAACAAACGTGAACATCGCTCCGTCATCGAAATAATCTATATCTTATTGTACATATTATACACGTGCTTACCTGAATATCCATGCTTCTTTGTTGATTGTTTACAAAGGTACCAATCGGTAAACTTCGGCATAAAAACATGACCATTAATAAGCTGCCATATGTTCACAACAACATTGACCGAGTAAAATATTTTTTTGACAATTATACGAAATAATAATACATTGCATTGTAGTTTCCTTATAAATAATGATATGTTTCCGGGCAACAACATTTTATACACAAAAACAATGTAAGATAATTGTAAGCATTGTGTTACTTGATGATCCACTAAACTTTTTTTTTATTAAACCGATCTGCTTATTTACAGATAGAATCAGAGAAAACGAAAACAGAATCATACAAGACATACAAATCAGTCAAATTTTAGACCATATGATGACACATCTGGTGATATCAGCAGACGACAGACGTGATATTGAACATTATCCTCGACAAGATGACCAAAACAAAGCATTGCTTGCTATAGTGATTAAAAGGAGAGAACCTTCTTACAGTGTGTTTGTTGATGGATTACGTAATTATGGATACGAAGATATCGCTAATGATTTGAAATGTGATTCACACAAAATCAGTCCAAGTACAACATTATTATCTGCTTCAAATGAAGGTATGGCTACAGGCTTTATTATAAACACAAGCCAAGAAGGTTTTTACTGAAATTATAATACTATGGTGCTTCTGCATGTTCTTGTGACTTTCAATACAGAGTGTATTTGATTGATATCTTGTAGATGTGCAACAGTTCCTCGAATGTTTTTTTTATTTTTGTTTGGCTTGATATATTGTAAAACAATAGAATATCAAATATCACTACATGGTGAAAAAATCAAATATGACTGCATATATATGAGAAATAAATTGTTCGTAAATATTTTCTCACATTAATTACCTTTTCACTACATATAGATCAACAATTATATTTCATATTGCTGTATATTAACAAACATGTATCCATATCAATGAAACATATAAACTATCGAACTATCGATGGATTAATACATTGGATATCAATTTAGGAAAATTCAAACAAATTATTGGCTTAAATCTTGCTAGTGTCATGTGCTCAAACATACCAAAGTTACTGCTACACTCAGGCGTTTCTAATGTAAAGCCATCTCTGTTAATGGACTATCTCTATCCAAATTAACTTGTTCGATAAATAAACTAATTAGTTCATTATGTGTCAGTTACTACAAATAAAGGAAACCCGCTGCAATTGTTTGCACCTGTCCTAAGTCAGGAATCTGATGTTCAGTAGTTGTCGTTTGTTGATGTGGTTCATAAGTGTTTCTCGTTTGTCGTTTTTTATATAGATTAGACCGTTGGCTTTCCCGTTTGAATGGTTTTACACTAGTAATTTTTGGGGCCCTTTATAGCTTGCTGTTCGGTGCGAGCCAAGGCTCCGTGTTGAAGACCGTACTTTGATCTATATTGGTTTACTTTTATAAATTTTAACTTGGATGGAGAGTTGTCTCATTGGCACTCATACCACATCTTCTTATATCTATATATTATTTTACAAAAGAACAACTGTCTAACCTTTAAAGACATTTGGTCTGTAGTGGACACACTACAAACCATTGAAAGTCTGAAATGGCCTATATTTGTACTCGACTGTACTGATTTTTACTCGACCAGTCTGAATTGGTCTGGATTTACTTGATTATACTTGAATGTAGTCTGGACCATACTTAACAGTCTGAACTTGTACTCGACCACACTCGACCAGTACTTAACCATTTTATTTGCGTCTGAGCCATGCTCGACCAAGTCTGAACAATGCTCGACCTAGTCTGAACAATACTCGACCTAGTCTGAACCATACTCGACCTAGTCTGAACCATAATTGACCAAGTCTTAACCAACCTAGACATATTTTTTGTATCTATCTATTATATTTCATCAATTTAGGAACTGTTTTTAAAAGCTATTTCCCCTGGCTAGAAATTTAAACAACAATTTGAAATTTAATATGAAATATTAAAATGTATTCAATATGGCATTGAAACCAAAATTTCACAATAAACATAATATAAATTCAACACCATATTCATCAACATTTACATATATATATATATCACCTTTAACATGTTTAAAATAAATATAAAACAAGCTGATCCAATAATCTCAAAACTGAATTGTGACTAATATTTTCAATGTTATTCAAAATTTTTTGAATGTTTCAGATATATTTTATGGTTACTGGACAATTTTCACCATTTACTTAAGCCTTGTATAGATTTATGACCGATTTATGGTGTCAGTTGAGTTTAGTTAATAATGCAGTGAACATTTTTTTTTATTAAAATATATTTAGAATAGTATATAAAGCAACTTAATAAATTTAAAAGATCACACATTTTTTTTTGGTAAAACCAAGAATTTAATATAATCAGGATTATAGAACTTCCGTAGCAATCCTTGATAACTATTTAAAAAAGTAAATGTGTTCCGAAGTTGCAGAAAACATTTATTTCAATCAAATTTAAATAACTTTTGTCAAAATAAAAGACATGGCATACAAGAAGAACTTTAATAAGGTTTAATTACCTCAGTACATGTGTGTTTTACAGGTAAAAAGAAAGCCATATTTATCTTAAACTCGTGTATTACTTATCTAGTGAATTCAAAAGGCCTTGCGATTTAAATTTTACAGGATGTTGCAATTTTTACTGAATGTTAATTAGAAATTAATTCTCTCTGACCAGGTGTGATCTTTTTAATGAGTTTGCCCCAAGCAGGAGGTATTACTTTATTCTTTACCACTATTCAGAATTATTTTTTTTATTTATTTCTTTAACTTTTTTATCCCTTTTTGATATATATCCCAAATTATAATAAGAATAGATATATTTCTAATATAAGGTTAAACAATTTCAGTGATTTTTTGGCTGTTGTTAACTCATATAAAAGATAATTATATAACTATTGTATGTAACCATAAAACCTATGTAGTTTTTCTTTAGGAATTTAGGAAATTAAGTTTAAAAAAACCAAAAAAAAACATATGCCAACCAAGAAGCACCTTAATAAGGTTTAATTACCCTCAGTAAAGGTGTGGTTTTTAGGTAAAATAATCTTTTTTTTAACAAAACTCTACAACTTAAAATTAATATAATTAAATTATTATATAAGATAATTTGATTTAACTATCTCTATTTGATAAATCTGAGAATCATGTAAGGATGTAAAAATATGTTTTTTATATATATCTTTATTTTATTGTGGCTGTTATCATGTCAGAAAAAAAGAAATTAATTTTAACAGCTAAAATTTAAAAAAAAGTAGAGGTTATTTGGTCAAGTATGGTTCAGACTGGTCGAGTATTGTTCAGACCTTTGGTCGAGTATGGTTTAGACTGAAAAAATAGGTCGAGAATGGGTTAAGACTGTTTCAGACTGGTCGAGTAATAGTTCAGACTATTTTCAATGACAAAGATAAGGGTCAAGTACAAATCAGTACGGTCGAGTATTATTAAGACTAGGGTCGAGTAATGTCGAGTAAAATTCAGACCAATTCAGACTGGTCGAGTAAAAATCAGTACAGTCTAGTACAGATATAGGCCATTTCAGACTTTTTCTGGTTTGTAGTGAGAGTTAATGTCTCGTTTGTTCTGTAGTGGAGAGTTAATGTCTCATTTTGGTCTGTAGTGGAGAGTTAATGTCTCGTTTGGTCTGTAGTGGAGAGTTGATGTTTCATTTTGGTCTGAAATGGAGAGTTAATGTCTCGTTTGGTCTGTAGTGGAGAGTTAATGTTTCATTTTGGTCTGTAGTGGAGAGTTAATGTCTCGTTTAGTCAGTAGTGAAGAGTTAATGTCTCGTTTTGGTCTGTAGTGGAGAGTTAATGTCTCATTTGCAATCAAACAGTATCTCTACTGTTATACTCTTTAAAGGAGAGTTCTACTGTTACAAATGTTTTGTTCTTAGTTCATAAAGTTCAACGAAATTGGTCGTGATTATAGTTTGGTTGACTGCAATGGAGTATCAATGTCAAAGATGATCAAAGATTTCGTCCAACTATTGTAAGCTTCCATTCTGGTTTCCATTCCTCTTCTACGATATCATAAACACAATTTATGACAAGATTTTTACATGACAAGTGGGTAAGAACATAATTTATTCCTCATCATATCAGACATTTTCACGTTTTTGTTGAAGTTAGTGATAATAATAATGAAACTTTATTCAGAGGTTATGCAATTTATAGAATATACATTTTTAAAACAAATTTTAAATACATATTGATAATTGATTATTATGTAGTATTGTTGCATGTTTTTTTTTCTCTCATGTTTTTTTGTCTCGTGCTTAAAAGAAGCGCATGTGTGATCCAAAATCAAACACTGTATATGGGTTTGCAAATAAACGTGGATACATGTTTTTAAAGTAAGATTCCTATTAATTTGTGTTATTATACATTTGTTATATGAATTACTAAAAATAGACTGAAAAGTATAAAAGTGGCTTCTGGCTGATACATACTACAATTATGATTGCAAACTTAGTATTTTGTGTCTTTCATTAAATCTGCTGCTTTGATTTGCCCTCCAACAGATGTAAGGGAGCAGTTCGATAAACAAATAATAAAAGCCATATTGTTCAATTTTGTTTCTGAAGTTTGTATGATAAATTTTCCATTTCTCTGCATTTTCTTTTTTCTATTTCTCCAATGGGTCTATGTTTTTCTTATTAAACTTCACTTGGAATGTTAAACCCATGGAAAAGCCCATGATGTATATGTCCTAAACACGGGTAACGCTATGTGACCAAAAGGGACATAAAGTAGCAAGATTCATCTGAGGTCATATTTGCCTGATTCGTAACAGGTACTTAATGAACCATGACTTATAACTGTAGAAAAGAATCTCGATCATTTATGATGCAAAGACATTAGTTTTGGTTAACTATAAATTGTTTTCAGATTAAGAACAAAAATACCAAACTAAATTAGCAATAAACCATACATTGTGTATATGTATAATTACAATCTCTCTTAAAAATTTAAACGGTTATCATATGTGTCTGATAATTTCAACGCAAAAATCTAAATTTAAATTGTGCAATTTGTTTATAGAAATATTAAGATCTGTCGACATTACATTTTATCTGAACATTCAGCCTTCGTGAGATATTACATTAAGACTTTGCAGATGTCTATCAATTGTTTACTTGTAATATTCACAAAACCTAATCTGTTTTATGTTTTTTGTCATGAAAGATCAATAGCACTAAACATCCCTAAGAAAAAAATATCTTTATATTTTGTAGACTTATCAGACTGGAATGTTCCATTGTATAAAGCTCGTCACAAAATATAGCCAAATCCATCTAAGACCATTTTTGCGTGAGGGATTTGAAACCTTAGTTTCTATATAATTTTAGAATTTATAAACGAACAATTTCAGAAAGGTTTGTTATAAATCATGTCAGTACCGAAGTACCGACTTTTGAGCTAATGATACCCTCAGGGACTGATAGTTCACCTACAGAGGTATTGACCCAGTGCTGTCAAAAATTTAAACAACAAGTTATAAATGTCACGCGTCCGAAACATTTTTCTGGATTTACTTTCATCTGTAGTCATGAAAGGTCAATAGGACTTAAGAAAAAAAAATCTTTATATTTTGTAGGCTTATCAGACTGGAACGTTCCATTGTATAACATTCGTCTACAGAAGAATTACCTCAAGATCATTACTGATATTCAACATAACAGCATAGTAGATCATCTAATAACAAAAGAGGTAATGTCGGTTGATGATGGGAAGAAGATAGAATCGGGTAAAACCCCACAGGAAAAGAACAGGAATTTAATGGACATGCTTTTGCATAAAAATGAACATGGATTTAATGAATTTATCAAAGCCCTACGAAAAGACCCAATTTATGCAGATCTAGCAGATCAAATAGAAAAGACAGACGTTACGAGCACAGATATAGCAACCCTTCATAAAAGCTTGAAATAAAATAGATGTAATTTCATTCAGAAAAAAAACTGTACACGACAAGACAGCTAGGACAAACACATGTAAACAGTGAATAGAAGGAGGTATTGTCAATCCAATGTTCCGTGATTTGGTCATTTAAATGATCAATGTGAATGGATTACAATATACTAGTAATTTTATATTATATTATGTATGTTGGCGTTTGTTTTTGTTTCAGTCCAGTGTTTCTGTTGTTCTGTTGTTTTCCTCTTATACTTGATGTGTTTCCCTCAGTTTTAGTTTGTAACCCAGATTGATTTTCTCTAAATCAATGTATGACTTGTGAACAACGGTATACTACTATTCCTTCATTTATATTAAACATATTTCATATGTGAGTGTCATGCATAGCAAGGAAAAAGCTAAAATATGTACTAACACCCATTGAACGAGTTTTCATTCCTAAACATAAATCCCCTTTATGAGTGTTCGTGCCTCAACAGATATGATAACGATGAAACAGTCATGACATATTTTGTTCAAGAAAATGATTTTAATGTATTTTAAAAGAATTATTGGAAACCAGTAATTACCACAGATTATTAAGGCCACATACGCGTAGGGGAACAAACCTTAGTGTTTTTGATAATGCAAAATTTAGTAAACAGACAATTTGCAGACCTGGTATTTCAAGACAACAGGGAAGTGTTGACTACTGAACTGGTGATACCCATGAGAACGTAACATCCGCCAGCAGTGGCATCAACCCGTTGGATGTAAAAAAAACTCGTAAAGTATACTTAGTTTATAATTTGTTATGCAAGTGGATAAATCAGCAGAGTTCAGAAATCAATTAACTTTAAAATAATCTTCATTTGTATAATTAAAAAATACCATTTAGATATCAGGAAGAGATCAACCTGATAAACTGCTAGATTACCATTGTTTTCAAATAGATTGCTATTATAATTCTTCGCCATGTAATGTGTAATGCAAGTATCCATCTATATTTGGTCCCCATTTACAAAGGTTGCAAAGCTGAAAATATAGACAATGCAATTTCTCATATTAACTTCTTTTACAGCTTATATTGTACCACTTTTACTATGTTTCGTAAAAATTATATAAAAAAAAATGGAAAGTTCATATGCACTACTATTTTATTCAAAGGTCAAACATAAGGCTGTGTGGCATATTTTCAACATTTATATACCTCAAACTTCTAAGAGTTAAAACTTATACTAAAATTATGTACTTCCTCTCCCTTCACATTTGGTTCCACTCAAAATTTAATTTTGTATTTATACTGGTTAGGTTCCCAAGATGTGTCTCTTTGAGATGAAATATAGAGGTTATACCTGGGAACTAGTAGGTAAACAAAACAAAATATCTAGCAATAGTATATATATCTAATGAAGGGCGTAGTTTGTGAAATAGCTGTATTTACAAAGTGCAATATAAAGGAAATGTCATAACTTGATACAAAATACTATATATATTATTTGATAAATTTTGAATAACTTACATAGTTGCAATTAGGTTATTACCAATTTCATGTCATTTATAACATTGTATGTTAATCTCTTAAAGGTGTTAAATGTTACCTTCATACACTACTGCATAGTCACCCATTAATTGGCCATTAATTGCTACCATTAAATTACCATTAAAATGTCATTAAAAAAAACATTAAAAACTCCTTAAAGGCACAAAATTAAGACCCATTAAATCAGTGTTCTTTATGTTAAAAACCATTAAACTACAGTCAATGGCCTTGAATTTTGACAGTATTAAACCCTTGAAATATATTTAAAAGTCATTAATCAGGACAAAATGAAAGCCATTAAAATTCTGTTTAAAGGGCATTATTTTGACAAAATAAACCCCATCAAAATATATTTCATGGCCATTACATTGTAGGTTTCAACCCATGAAATTTACAACTAAAATGTAATGCCCATTAAAACAGTTCTATTTAACGCCCATTAAGAAACAATAAATTAATGGTCATTTAAAAAAATGATGGGAAATTTAAACTTAACAGTTTTTATAGGTACAATATTAAGACACATTAAACTAAAATTACCGAAATTAATGGGTTTTGGCCATGTTTAATGGCTTATTTGAATGGCTGTTACATTCCCATTAAAATAAAATTGCCTTGTATTTAATGATCCTTAAACTTCCTGATAGCAAACTTCTTGACCATTTTTAATGGCTGTTAGATATTCAATTCCCAGTATAATGGTACCCCCTTAACCCTTCAAGTGCAATGTCCAGTAGCACCTTAAGGCAGTCCATTGTCTTAATTGTAATGGATACTCAATGTTCACCATGGCTTACTGATGCTCGCTGTTCAGTTTCAATAATTGCAAGATTTGTTTTACCATTTTTTTTTACGTTGAAGCAGAGTTAAATACCCCAAATTTCCTCCCATTAACACAAGGTATTAGTATATAAAATAAAAATTTTGGATTGACTGAAAAAAAATAATTAAATGCTTACAAAAAAAATCTTGCTTGGTACAACACTCCTCCCCTTTTCCCTAGAAAAAAAATGGTATGTGCAAACAAGATAATAGTGAAAATCTGACAAAAATTGAAACCTGACCAGCGAACATTATTAAACAGTGACTATGGTCAGCTTAAGCCTCACCCAAAAAACTGAATACTAATATTAGAATTATGTGTCAGATAAAAGGATACATGTAACTTCTTTTCCTTTCTGTAATTAAACTTGTACTTTCAACAAGAATTGCTGAATAAAGGTAACTGAAGTCTGCATGAAATCTGTTTAATATCATTACTGGCAGCTAATTTAAACATTAAATCCCCTAAAAGTACAAAAAAAATCCACGGAGAATCAATTGTTCAAGACGTTAGGAAGCAATAAATTCCAAAGAAACATAATTGCATATATCATATATATATATATATAACATTTGAAGCCATTTGGAATTAGATTATTTACCCCCCCCCCCCCCCCCTCCCCCCTCCCTTTGTTTAATTGCCTGAAGATAAAACTGGCTACTAACAATTTTCGGCAATGAATCATTCGCAAAATTCAATTTAATTTTTACATATCTACCAGTTATACATGTTACGAATATGATAACAATTATTCATTGTTGTGTATAATAATAAATATCTATTTTCAGTTTATGCTGCCAGACTCTCTGATGTTGATTTGGTCAAATTAAAACTAGAAAAATTTCAAAATGCCTCAACAAATCATATTTTATAATCATTATATGTTATATTAAATTTCAAATATACTTATCTCAAAACATCTTCAGATCGGATTTTCCATTTTGAACCTCCAAGGGCATTTGCCTACCCAGTTCCCCCTCCCCCCTCCCTTTGTTTAATTGCCTGAAGATAAAACTGGCTACTAACAATTTTCGGCAATGAATCATTCGCAAAATTCAATTTAATTTTTACATATCTACCAGTTATACATGTTACGAATATGATAACAATTATTCATTGTTGTGTATAATAATAAATATCTATTTTCAGTTTATGCTGCCAGACTCTCTGATGTTGATTTGGTCAAATTAAAACTATAAAAATTTCAAAATGTCTCAACAAATCATATTTTATAATCATTATATGTTAAATTAAATTTCAAATATACTTATCTCAAAACATCTTAAGATCGGATTTTCCATTTTGAACCTCCAAGGGCATTTGCCTAACCAGTTCCCCAGCCAGGCTGTGACAGGTCAAACTATCATACATTTAACCTTCCCCAAAACATAATTCAATGCAGTAAGATAGATCATACAAACTCACACACTCACCTGAGTTTCTGCAATCAATGTCTGTTTATCTGATATTTTTTTAAGTTCTTCTGTATTCCGGAATACGATAAGTGTGGCATATTTACGAATTTCGAGAAATATTCAGAATTAACGTTATAAATATTGAGAAAAGAAAATGTAAGGCCACCACGCACTACTTGGAAATAGCATCGTAAGTTCCCAAATTAATTATCATTTAAAGCGTTTCTCTGTCATAAGATTCAAATATGTTTAATCAAGAGCATCGTTGATGTTTAGACTATATATTAAAGCATGATAAGTGCCTCTTCTGTGATGCCATACCTAATATGAAACATTTTCAAAGCTGTGCTAATAAATAATAAAAATAAAAACATGTGGTTCGGTTGCCAATTAGAAAACTATAAAATCCAATATTCATCAAATGCAAGTTCAAATATTTGGTACCAACTGAAATAGAGTACTAAACTACAAAATATGTAATTAATAAAACCAACACAAATTGGCATGATCAAAAGAGTGGCCACACCATCAAACAATAAAGGGCAATCAGTGGTGAAAGCTAGATCAGACTACATAAGATTGTGTTACAATTCATGGTATGGAATATTTATGATGGTCATTATTAATAATTGTATTAACAGGAAATCATCTAATGGCCATCAAATATTAAAGTTTGAAATTTTATTGAATTGAACACTTTTAATGGCCTTTACATACAATTAATGGCCATTACATGTTAACGCTAGAGACAAACAGGATGGAAATTCCATTTTCGGTCATCATATTATATGTGTTAGTAATTAATTGGCATTAAATTACCACTAATTATTTTTCATTACAAAAAAATAATGGTCATGATATAAGAACAGGTTTTGGTAAAGTTATAATAATGGCTATTAAATGGCATCATAACTAGATTGACCTGATTTAATGGCAATTAAGTAGGATTGTAATGGGTTTTTTCAGAACCCATTAAAAATGTCATTACAAATTTTGACAGGACTTTTAATGGGTTTCTGAGATTTTAACAGGATTTTAATGGGAATTTAATGGTTTGACGTTGCAGTAGTGATAGTCAATTAAGGTTGATTTAAATTAAATTTCAAATATACTTATCTGAAAACATCTTCAGATCGGATTTTCCATTTTGAACCTCCAAGGGCATTTGCCTACCCAGTTCCCCAGCCAGGCTGTAAATTTAATTCTAATGAATTATAAAGTATACACATACGAAGTAACTAATTCATAGACCGAATATTGTCCTAAGGTGTTTCTGAATATTTTGACTGTAGCTTGTTGTAAAGGAGTTTATCAGACAGCTACTTTTAAATGTACATTTGTTAATAAAAATGTCTCTTCATCAATATAGTTTTGAACAAAAATGCAACGATATGATCTTATCATGTAAATATAGTTGCTACGTAACATCTGATTTTACAACTAATGTTTTTGACATAACACATCTGTTCTGTCAAAGGAACTTATCTTTCATCCATCAGACAACAGGATGTTTAATCCCAACAGATCAGTGATAATTGTTTGGTTATATTATATTTATCAATTATGGACTTTTGACGAGGTCAATACGATATATATGGACCTGTTCAGATTATATTGACCGAGGAGGAAGTCCGAGTGTCAATATAATCTAGCAGATCCATATATAACGTATATACTGAGTAAAAGTTCTTGATTTATCCATTACATAATTATGTAAATAATGTATTAGGAAAACGGACTTCAATGTTTTTGCTGTGTATTTTAAATTGTATTTTGGAAGATTTTTAACATGCCAGTGAAAATATGAATATTTTTCGAACAACTGCACAGCTTGATGTGTTAGCTTTCTTGTATTCTTAGCGTCTGCATTTCACATCATATGAAGGTATTTTCTTCTGACAAACTTGCAATTTTTATTTACTTTTCATCTCCTGTGGTGCTTCTTCCATTGTTGTTATGTGTGACGTCATGACGTAGAGTAATTTCGGACCGGAACGGCTTCTAAATTTAAAAAGATTTTTTATATTGACCGTCAATATACATATAAATAGAAACATCGCGTCAAAATACTTAAAAATAGGAAACATAGCGTCATACTTAAAAATAGAAAAAAGGCATCAGATACATAGAATTACCTTTGTAGCACGTGATCGTAATATCCAATGAAAACAAGAGAATGCTACAGCATATGTAATATGTTCAAATTTTTAAAAGTGTGTCAGAAAATATCAAATGTCAAAAACATTTGTGGACCTACACCGAAGCAAA